GTCCATCTTTGATTGGTTCTTCTTTATCTCTGTTTAGGGTCTCACTGATATCCTCCACTTTTTTCTCAAGTCCATCCCCATTTTGCTTAGGTCTCTTGCTGTGGTTTTGTCCTTTTCCTTCATTTGGGACATGTTCCTCTGTCTCCTCATTTTGTCTAACTCTCTGGGTCTGTTTCTCCGTGATAGGAAAGTCACTTATGTCTCCTGTTCTTGAAAGTTGTAGCTTTATGAGGAGGAGTTCCTGTAGTGTTCTGCAGTGCAGTGTCCCCTGTTCACTGGAAACTGGTGCTTCAGGGGTGTCTACTATGTGTGTTGCATGCACACTGCTGTGGTCCTGTGGTGGCTGAGCCACTTTTGACTTCAGTCCACTCATCCTCAGTGGCTCTCTTTGTCTCTTGTGGGCAATGTTTGGTCCTTGTGGTGTTAGTGGACCAGTCTTGGGCTGCCGTGGGCTTGGGTTGAGTCAGACCAGGCATTTGCCAGAGCTGTAGTAGCTCTGAACTTCAGGGTGCTCTGTCTGTGTTGTTCCCTGTGAAGCTTTAGTTGGTGGGTGGCACGTGCCGTCAGAGTAGATGTCTGCCTCCAGTGTTCTGCTGGGTCAGCAGTCAGACTGCTGTGTGTGGTTATATTCCCCTTGCCCTGGGGCAGTAGTCATTTGGAGTCGTGCTGGCCCCCGTCAGGGCTACTTGCACACTGCCAGGCTTGTGGCCCGGATTTGAATGGGCTCCATCCAAGAGTGTATTGGAGGGTGTAGATCCGCAACATGGGGGCTAGGGGTGTTGCAGTGGGGCAACAGTGTTAGCAAGGTTTGCACACTGCTGGTTTTCTACAGGAGAGGTCCTGAAGTGAACTGAAGCACGCCTGGCTAAAAGGGGCACATTCCTTAAGCCCAGGGAGTGGGGAGCGATGGAAGCAAGTTAGGTAGTGAAAGTCAACACAGCACTGGTTCCCGCAGGTGGGCTGTGTGTTTATGCTGTGGGGAAGGTAGGGGTGGGAAATGGTGCTGGCCAGTTTCTTTATTCCTGGAGGAGTACCCCAGTGATCCTGCCCCTTCAGGACATACTCTGAGATAAGTAAATAAATCTCCCTCCCATGGACCCCAGGCATTTTTCAAATTGTTGCTTCTATTCTGTATCTCTCTAGGCTGTTTGTTGAGCTCTTTCTTTAAGGGTGAGGACTGAGCTTCTTCTCGTCCTCTGGGCTCTTCCACAGTTGGGCCCACTGATTTTTAGAATTCCAGGCTTTAAGTCCCACTGGTTGTATAAACTCACAAAATTCAGCCCCTCTGGCTTTCAAAGCCAAACGTTAAGGGAATTCATCTTCCCTGAGCGATCTTCTCAGTGTGATAGTCCGTTTGCCTTCTCCGTGCCTGCGGGTTCTTCCCTCCCGCGGACGGGTTCGTAGTTCGTTTAGTTCCTCACTGTGTTTCCACCCTTCTTACCCTCTTATATGTGGTCTTTTCTCTACATTTAGTTGTGGAGTTTGTTCTGCCTTCGAGTTGTTTTCTGCTTTTTTACACTGATTATGTGTATTATCTAATTGTATCTGTGCAAAAAGGTGGGCTGAGGGTCCTCCTACGCCACCATCTTCCCAGCAATCCTCCACCTTGTCGTTTTGGGATTTTTTTTGTTGTGTTTTTTGAAATCCACTCAGCCATCCTGAGTCTTTTAATGAGCATTTAGTCCATTTACATTAAAGTAATTATTGATAAGTATGTATGTATTGCCATTTTGTTAATGGTTTTCTGGTTAATTTTGTAATTCTCTTCTCGTGATTTTATGACTTTCATGTGATGTTTGGATTCCTTTCTCTTTTATGTGTTTACCTATTATAGGCTTTTAGTTTGTGGTTACCACAAGGTTTATATATAACCTATGTATATAGCAGTCTGTTTTAAGTTGGTGGTCGCATACGTTGGAGCATGTTGTAAAAGCACTACATCTTTACTCTCGTTCTGTGTTTTTTTAACGTCATGTCTTACATCCTTTTATTTTGTGCGTTCCTTGACTAATTATTGTAGATAAAGTTGATTTTACTACTTTTTCTTTTAACCTTCATCCTACATTTCTCTGTTGATCCACTACCTGTAGTATGTGTTTGCTTTTACCAGTGAGATTTTTAAAATACATGTCTTATTTCTACTTATGGTGCTTTCTGCTTAAAGAAGTCCCTTTAATATTTCTTGTAAAACCAGTTTAGTGGTGAGGAAGTAAATCCCTTAGCTTTTGCTTTTCTGGGAAACTCTTTACCTCTCCTTCAATTCTGGATGATGACCTTGCTGGGTAAAGTATTCTTGGTTGTGAGTTTTTTCCTTTCAGCATTTTAAATATATTGTGTTTCTCCCTTCTGGCCCAAAAAATCAGCTGATAATCTCATGGGGGTTCCTTTTTTTTTTTCTCTTGCTGCTTTTAAGATTCTCACTTTATTTTTAACCTTTTAATTGTAACATGACTTCACGTGGACTTATCTGGGTTCATTTTGGGGGGGGACTCTCTGTGCTTCTTGGACCTGGATGTCTGTTCCCTTCCACAGGTTTGGGAATTTTTCAGCTATTATTTCTTTAAAAAGTTTTTTGCCTCCTTCTCTCTTTCTCCTTTTTCTGGGACCCCTATAATGTGAATGTTAGTACACCTTATGTTTTCCTAGAGGTCCCTTAAACTATCTTGTACTTAAAATACTTAAAATTCTTTTTTTTTTTTTTTTGCTGTTCATTTTGGATGTCACCACCCTGTCTTCCAGACCTCTGATCCATTTTTCTGTATCTAATCTGCTGTTTATTCCCTCTAGTGTATTTTTCATTTCTGTTATTGTATTCTTCGACTGTGATTGGTACTTTCTTATATTTTCTGTTTGTTGAAGTTCTCAATGTGTTCACTCATTTCTTCTCCCTAGGTCAGGAAGTGTCTTTTTGACCATTACTTTGAATTGTTTATTGGGTAGATTGCTTATTTGTTCTTTTTCTGAAGTTTTGTCTTGTCCTTTTCTGTTTGTTTTCTTTCTGTTTTTGTTGTTGTTGTTTATTCTTTGTTGTTGTTCTTTTGTTTGGAACATATTTTTCCATCTCCTCATTTTGCCTAACTCTTTGTGTTTGTTTCTCTGTATTAGGTAGTTTGCTGTCTCCTGGTCTTGAAGGAGCGGCTTTATGTAGAAGTCTCTTGGGGCACAGAAACACAACCCCCCTTGGCCACCATAGACTGTTGCTGCAGGGCTCTCCCCTGCATGGGGTACATGCGCCCTCCTGTTGTGGCAGTGCTTGGACTACAGGTGTGCTGGTGGGAAGGGCTGTCCTCCGGCCCAGCTGGCTGTCACGCCAGCCACAGCTGCTTCAGGTTGTCTGGTTGTCTGCAAGGCCACGCAGAGGCACAAGGCCGTGTGGGGCTCTCAGCAGTGTGCAACCCCTGGCATTAGCAGTCTGGAGGGCAGATCAGCATGATGGAATGAGTCAGCAAAAACAATTGCCACCAGTGTCTGCGTCTCCAGGGAGAGACCCAGCAGTCCCCTGCTTCTCTGAGCAGATGCTCCAAGTTTAATAGGAGGTCTCCTCCACGTGTAGTCTCTGTGCTTTTCGTCTGGTATGTTTGTGCTGGTTTCTGGGTTGAGTGAGTCTGCACGCGGGCCCTTTAAGAATGGGTTTTCCTTTCCCTACGGTTCTATAGTTTTATGGGTGATTCCCTGGTGGTTCTGAAAGCCAGCTGTTTTGGGGACTGTCTCATCTGTGCAGGATATAAGGCCTGATGTGAGCTTGAATCGCTCACTCTGGAAAAATTTCCATACCTTTGAGATCTGTCTGGACTGTGCAAGACCATGCCTGGGTATGGTTTTTCCATTAGTGAGACTGTATTTCTGCCCCTTCTGTCTGTCTCAGTGCTGTGTCTTGTTGTGGAGGTTCTGTTCATCCAGTTTCTAGGTCCCCTTTTAAAAGGAGGAATTCTGTATGTAGTTGTAGATTTGTTGTGTCCATGGGAGGAGGTGAGCTCTGAATCTTCCTTTGTGGCCACTTTGAACCCTCTTCTCTACTAATGTATACTTTAAGTCACTATTTCCTGCACTGATAATCTAAAATTATCTAGTGTACAAGTACACAATGAAAGAATTGGGGTCACAGCAATTGCACTACTGGGTATTTACCCCAAAGATACAAATGTAGTGATCCAAAGGGGTACATGCACCCCGATGTTTATAGCAGCAATGTCCACAATAGCCAAACTGTGGAAAGAGCCAAGATGTCCATCAACAGATAAATGGATAAAGAAGCTGTGGTATATATACACAATGGAATATCATGCAGCCATAGAAAAACCGAAATCTTGCCATTTGCAACAACGTGGATGGAACTGGAGGGTGTTATGCTGAGTTAAATAAGTCAGTCAGAGAAAGACATGTATCATATGACTTCACTGATATGAGGAATTCTTAATCTCAGAAAACAAACTGAGGGTTGCTGGAGTGGTGGGGGGTGGGAGGGATGGGGTGGCTGGGTGATAGACATTGGGGAGGGTATGTGCTATGGTGAGCGGTGTGAATTGTGCAAGACTGTTGAATCACAGATCTGTACCTCTGAAACAAATAATACAATATATGTTTAAAAAAAAAGATAGTAGGAAGGGAAAAATGAAGGGGGGGGCAGTTGGAGGGGGAGACGAACCATGAGAGACTATGGACTCTCAGAAACAAACAGGGTTCTAGAGGGGAGGGGGGTGGGGGGATGGGTTAGCCTGGTGATGGGTATTAAAGAGGGCACGTACTGAATGGAGCACTGGGTGTTATACGCAAACAATGAATCATGGAACACTACATCCAAAACTAATGATGTAATGTATGGTGATTAACATAATAAAATAAATTAAAAAAAGAAATAATTGGGGTCAGATCTTTGATTGTAATAGCATCCTATTACTTGGTAAATATAAGTAAAATAATTTGTAATTTAAGTTAGAAACAGTTATGAAGAAAAATGATGCATGCTAACTTTTCTTTCCCTCTGTTTTAATTTTACACAGGGCAAGAGCATCAGTTTCAATCTGGGAACCTTTAAATGAAACTTGCTTAAAATCTACATCATACGTAGAAGAGAGGCCTCAATCAACGACAAGGTGGAAAAGAGTGATGTTGTCCTTAACAAACCTGCAGAATATCATCTATAACCCGGTAACTGACTTCTATAAAATCACTTTTTATCTGTGGCAGGATTTAAAGCAAATCCAATTGGATAGTCATTATCCATTGCTGGGGAGGAGAGATTAAAATCAGTAAACGTATGGAAAGTACCCATCCTGTCAGAGGGACTGTGGTGGTTGCTGATGGAAAAACAGGTACAGCCCTTGGAGCTCAGTCTAGCGGAGGACGAAGTCACAGTGACAATACAGGGCAGTGAGAATGAGTTCTGAGTGGAGAACGTGGGGGTACGGTGGGGGGAAGCCAACTTTGGCGGTGCTGGGAAGATAATCACAAGACATAATTTTCAAAGGAAAATGGATTTGTTGCTCTAAAATTTTTTAATTTGCTTTTTTGATTAGACCCTGTTCATGAGAAGTAAATGTCTGTTTTCCCCTCAGCTTTTCCCGCTTTCAAGTACTGCTTCATACTTGAGTGGGGAAAAGGTCAAAAGCTAGGGGCAAGATGGAAAAAGAGAAGAATTAGGGTCTCTTGGTCCAAAAGCCCCAGTGACTGCAATTGCTGGAACTTTCAGTGTACGTCCTGGGAAGTAATGAACTTGTTTTAGTTTGACGTGGTGATAAGAATCTTCAGAAACGTCTGGTTTCCACATATCCGAAGCTGAATCCTGAATTTAGGTCTGAGGTAGAGTTGCTGCTTTTTTTTTGTAACCGCTCGCCCCCCACCCCAAGAGAGAGAGGGTGCAAGTCCTTGAAGTAGGGCCCTAAGCCAGTTTCATTTGTGTTCGTGGTCCCTTTTTTGTTACTTACTTTCTAGTTGTAACTCTTTTTCATCCAGGTTTTGATGTCATTATGCAGAGTGAGGGACAACCACCACATCAAGCAGATTCCATTTTATTTAGTTAGTTATTTTAAAAGATTTTATTTATTTAATTGACAGAGACAGCGAGAGAGGGAGCACAAGCAGGGGGAGTGGGAGAGGGAGAAGCAGGCTTCCCGCGGAGCAGGGAGCCCGATGCGGGGCTCGATCCCAGGACCCTGGGATCATGACCTGAGCCGAAGGCAGTTGCTCAACAACCGAGCCACCCAGGCGCCCCAGCAAATTCCATTTTAGAAGGAATAGCCTTCAATAGTAGGCTTCCTTTAAAAAGGAAGATTGAGTTTGAAGTCAGTGGGACATTCAAAATGATTTTCTGTATCTTACAGTTAAAAAGATCTCAAGGTTGGGGACGCCCAGGTGGCTCAGTCCGTTAAGTGTCCGATTCTTGATCTCAGCTCAGGTCTTGATCTCAGGATCATGAGTTGAAGCCCCACATGGGATTCCATGCTGGGTGTAGAGCCTACTTAAAAAACAACAGCAACAACATCTCAAGGTTGTAGATGGACTTTCTGCAAAGATTAAAAAAAGAAGGCTCTCCACAAGGGTGTCTGAAGTACAGCCCCGGCTCCTGCCAGGAGGCGGAAGGGATGGTCAGGTGACCCTCCTCAGTTCTGCCCTCGTGCACAAAGGTGCCTTACCTGAATGTGATTTAGAAAGTGATTTTTTTAGATTAAAATTGCTGTGCATCATGCTGATGATTCCTGTAATTTCTGGGATTAGCACATTCAGCTACAGGGTCAAAACAAGAGTGCACTGATGTTCATTTCCTGCCGAAGGGCCAGGAGACGTAGCGGTGCTGTAGGGCAGGAATGCAGCCAGGGCGCCCACGTGGCCTCACTGCTGTTCTGAGGATAATTTATGGTGACATCTTCTTCCAAAGTAAATATTTCTGGCAAATAGCCTTTTTTTTTTCTTTTCAGTTTTTCAGTTTTATAGTCCGTTTTCACAAGCAGAAAAGGGTAGAGGTAGCAAGATTGAACCGCATAGCAAAAATGACATTTTGCTGGGGTGCCTGGGTGGCTCAGTCGGTTCAGTGTCCTACCCTTGATTTTGGCTCAGGTTGTGATCTCAGGGTTATGAGATGGAGGCCTGAGTCGGGCTCCGTGCTCAGCGGGGAGTCTGCCTGGGATACTCTCTTTCCCTCTGCCCCCCTTCTGTCTCTCAATCTCTCTCTCTCTAAAATAAATAAATCTTTTAAAAAAATGACATTGTGCTCCATCTTTAAATTTAACTTCTTAAATAAATATTCATAGCACCAAGTGCTCACACTGCTAAGCTCTTCTTCAGTTTTTTGAACTGATCACTAACAAAATAACGCAAGAAAATAGTTCTTTTTAAGTCTAGCTTATACAATATCCTAATCGATTTAATATCTAATTTAATATCTAATTTAATATCTAATTTAATACCTAAAATATCTAAGTTATTTGCGGCCTCTGTTTTTTTCCCCATTGTGTTTTGAACACTGAAAGGGCAGCTAGCTAGCTGCAAATGGAGAAGAGCTTAAGCAGTGTGGACACGCATGTGTTTACTGGCTTTTTACTGTAAGCTTTATGAAGCATTATGAAGACACAGAACTACCGCCTTTTAATTTTTATTCCTTAATGTTTCGAAAGTTTCCATCCACACTGGCAGCAAATTCTGTCCATATTAAGTCTTCTTGGAAAAAAATAAAGTACACTCTGTAACTGTCCTGTGTGCTTTTTCATACCTGATTTATTTCACTGACTGTTGTTTATACAGTTCTTAACATGTGACTGAGTGTTAGCTGGTTAAGCAGTTACTTAGCAATGAATCAAATTGGTTGTTAACATTCATTCCACCTGGCGCCAAAACATCCTCCAGTCTCCTTGGGAACACTTCCACCTTCATCCCTTTCTCCTTAGTATTCTGAGGACCCCCCTTTCCGCCTTACCACTTAATCTTAAAGCACAAGACAGTAAAATCTTTCTTAACCTCCGAGGTCCCGTCTGGCCTCGTGTCTTCCTGTTCTCTCTCGCCTTGCTCGCCGCCGTCCTGAGAACGCGTCCGTTCTGCTGCCTTGGTTTGCTTACCACAGCTCTGCCCTCTGATGTTTTGTTTTGTTTTTTTTTTTTACTCTTTCTTAATTTCCTTTTTGTCTTTACTAGTCATGTCCTTCTCTTCATCTTGTGTCTTTACTGATCACCGCTCGACTGTTGAGTACGTACACAGCATGTGAGCAGTTCTGGCCCTTTCTCTGAGGCTCTCAGATGCCCTTGCTTCAAGACTCCGGAGTTCGTATCTACAGTTACGTCTTCCTCCCCGAATCAGCTTCCCTTTTGCGGGCTTCCATTCCTTTCCGTGTCTTTCTGCGGTTTAACTTTGCCTCCTCCCACGCCGCCAAGCCCCAAATCGTTGGAAGATAATCTGTGTTCCAAACTTAATTTCACTTATGTCAAACCCAGTGGCTTTGCCTTTTTTATTATTATTTTTAAAATCTAAACATAGTATGTGTAAATCATTTTTAAAAATTAAAACCGTATTTAAGGGTTACACGAACCCATAAATTTTCCTTCTGCCCTGGTGCTCGGTTCCCCTCCCTGAAGGCAACCCTATTTACCAGTTTTCTGTAAACCCTTCCCAAGAATACACATGAATAGCCAAGAGTGTGTGTGCTCTGTGTACCACTGTTATTGGTCCTGTTTCTTCACACGTGTGTACCACACTACAGACCTCGTTTTATGGTGCTTCCCTCGACAAGCAAGTCCGTCAGTACCATTTTCCCAACAGCATTTGCTCTCTTCACGTCTGTGTCACAATTTGGAAATCCTTGGAACATTTCACACGTTTTCATTATTATATCAGTTACAGTGATCGGGGATTACAACCTGCTGAAAGCTCAGACGATGGTTGGCATTTTGTAGCAATATTTTTCAATTAAGGAAAGTACCTTTTTTTCTTTTAGGTATAATGCCATTGCGCACTTAATAGACTTCCGTGTCATGTAAACATCTTTATGCTCTGGGAAACCCCGGAGTGTATCTGAACAGCTTTTTTGCTGTCTTCGCTTTATGGAAGCGGCCCAGAAGCCCACCCCGTGGTATCTCCAATGGTGCCTGCATAGACACTGCCCAGGGTGCTGCTCTCCCCACTGAACACGTTTTGGAGCTCTCAGCACACTTGGGATTTCCTCGCTTATCATCAGGGCCGCGTGACTGGTCCCTCGGATGGAGATACCGTCACTTTTTCAGCCAGTTCCCATGAAAGGACTGTTTCCTTTTGTGATGGGACCCAGCGCCCTGGGGTACAGCCTGGTATGCGCATCCTTATGCATGTGTGCCCGAATTTTATAGGGTCAGTCTGTAAAAGGAATCACTGGGTCAAAGAGCATGATACCCACTTCATTATCTTTTTTTAAATCTTCCTTATTTTTCCATGTTAAGGATTTTGACAGTCTTGCCATATTGAGACTGACCTCCTTGGGGTGTCCAGCTGACCGATCCTTCTCTCCCCACCCCCCCGAGTCGAGGTCCCCAACACACACACACCCAGGTGTGATGATTCACTGGCACATAGTCCTCCTCACGGCCATGGTTTATTACAGTGAAACGATACAGAGCAACGTCACTAAGGGAAAGGCAGAAGGGGGCAAAGTTCAGGGGAATCCAGGTGCCAGGTTCCGCGGGTCGTCCCCCGGTGGACTCCCCCAGGATGTACTGAAATCCCCCAGCGGCAAGCTGTGACAGTGCGTGCGAAATGCGGCCCCCCCAGGGAAGCTCCCAAGAGTCCCTGCCTGGGGATTCGCTCGGGAGCTGGGCACGTGGACTGCGCTAACACGTACCGCCGTGCCGGACTCCCAAGAGGAAGGCGGGCTTTAGCATACGCTACATGGCTTGCACAGTTTAGGTACAGGAGACCACCCCTGGCCGTCTGGGTGGTGGGTGCTCTCCCCAGATCCAAGTTCCTAGACCCCAGCCAAGGGCCAGCCTCGTCAGGGGGCCTTGCAGGGCTAGCAGTCCCATCTGCTTTGTGAACTCTCTCCTGCGTACTCCCGCATTTTCCAAACCATTTTCCAAACCTTTGCCCCTGCCTTGTCCTTTCTCTCAGCTTATCTGCCTCGATCCCTTTAATAATCCTCTCTGCTCTGACTGGGAGCACTCACTCACCGTGTGGCCCTGGATCCCCCACTCCTTTCGGTGTATGTTCTCCCAACCCGTCACACAAGACGTGTTCAAAACTAAACTCCTCTTCCTCCTGAAATCTGTTTCCTCCCCGGTTTCACCATTTTAGACGGTGGCCCCTATAGATCGTTTCCTTTGAAGTGGTCCTGTGTCTTCCTCCCCGCGTCCCCCAGGGCCTACCCCCATCGCCTGGCTTGTGTCCTTGTGTCTGGCTCCCAGCGAATCCGCTGCGCTCCAGCGTTCTGTACCCCGCTGGACCGTGGCCCCCAAGCCCCGCCTTCATGATCTCATTGTACACTCTCCCCCGCCGTCTTGAACTGCCCCCTTCCTGCTCACTGTCTGCCGGATCTGTTTCTGCTTTTCCTGCCTCTCTGCTTTTGTAAACGGACATCTCTATCAGAACGGGCTTGCCCCTCCCAACCGCCCAGCTCACACCACGCTCCTTATCAACGTTCTTTGGGCAACTTGGAATTCTATACATTCTTCTGAAGCACCGACCTGGTGCCCTGTATTTGAAGATGTTGAACTTATGGTCTGTTGTTGGAAGCCCAGAGGCCAGTCTAAGCAGAAGAGGGATTTATTCAGTGATACTCAGTAGTTCTCAGACTCTCTAGCAGGACTGAAGAACCACACTTGGCAACTACAGAATCACAGACGACACCCAGAGCCGTGCTGTACGACTCTTCCCACCAAAAGGGTCCCTGTGCACCGCAATCCCACCCGGGCCAGCCCTGCCTCCCACCCTGGGGACAGCTGCTGCCTGCCGGCAGAGCCACCACTCAGGGATCCCGGCTTCTTGTTGCTGGTTCTCACTTCCTGTCTGGAAGGTCAGGGGGGCCCGAGTGGCCGAGTTTCGTCCTATGCCCTTGCCCTTCCCTGCGGTCAAGATGAGGCTGAGTGAGGATCTTCTAGATATGGAAGAAGATTGTGATTCTGAACAGCCCGAGTATCCCATTTCCACGGGGATCTGACTTCTTCCCGGCTGCTTTACAGGCTCCTCCCGGACAGGACGCGCATACTTTTAGCTGCAGAGTCCACCGAGGAGAGACCTTTGTGGGTAGGGGACATTGCAGAAGTAATCCTAAAGCAGGCAGAGCACTGTGAGTCAGCTAGGATGTTCCGGCAGGTAACGCTAAACACAAGTATGGCTTAAGCTTATAGTGTTGTCCCCAGTGTGATCAGAACTGTGCTTTAATTTTTTTTACATAAATTATTCGTGAAACATCAAAGCTTGACATTCACCTACAAAACGGCGTCCTCCTCCCTTTTCACGGGAGCAAATAGTCATGAGTTCAAGGAGTGGGCTGCAGGGGGCGCCTGGGTGGCTCAGGTCATGATCCCAGGGTCCTGGGATCGAGCCCCGCATCGGGCTTCCTGCTCGGTGGGAAGCCTGCTTCTCCCTCTGCCTCTGCCCCTGCTTGTGTTCCTGCTCTCGCTGTGTCTCTCTCTGTCAAATAAATAAAATCTTAAAAAAAAAAAAAAAGCTACAGGGTATTTCGTGTCACTCACATGATCCAAATCACTTGAGTATGACTGATACCATGGAGGGAACTTTCCTAAGTAGGAAGTGTTAATCCAGACAACTAAAAGAGCAAATGGCAAAAGTGTTCAGCACTGTTGTTTCTCAGACTGCAACGACTTATTAACCATTGTGAAGAACTTATTGGCAGTGACGGGTAGATTATTGGGTCTCAGAAAGCTCTTTCCAACCCTAAAGTTAAATATATAATAAAAACTTGTGGTTGTAAAAATATAAATGCTTACTGTAGAGAGCTGGAAAATATAAAAATACATGAAGAGAATTAAGATCCCATTCCTCAAGAAAACTGTTATTAACATTTTTGGTTTATTTCATTACAGTGTTTTCTTTTTTTAATGTTTATCATTAACTTAGGTAAGATCATACTGTGTATAGTTCTGCAGGCTCTTTTCTCACTAATATTTTTATCCCTAACATTTTTGCATCATTAAATATTCCGCATAAATATAATTGGAATGTATATAAAATTTGAAGTTACAAAAACTATTCAGTCGATTAAGAGATTTCCCCTGCGGAGGGTCCTGCTGGCTCTTCCTGGAATCGGCTGTGGCCCAGAAGATCAGTGTGGACGCGTAATTCCTTCCATATCCTCTCCACCCAACACCCAGCTGCTTTGGCATGGGGCTGTCGCCACTCTGACGTGGCGTTTTCTGGTGGGATGGGCTCTGCTCCTCCCACCCACCTTGCTCTCAGCAGCTGTCCTGACACCAGGTGACACGAGGTGACACCAGGTAACAGCGGGCTTCCGTCCTTTTCTGCTATTCTCGGTCATGGCTTGGCTCACTGGTTAAGGCAGCAAGACGTGTTGTTGAGACACTACTCAGCTGCTGCTGGTCTGGGTATGTGCGGTTTGCTAGAACCCAGTTTCTGGGCTGGTGAGAACTCACTCCTTCACCGTGCAACCACTGACCGGCTCCTGACCTCAGCTGTGGGCGTGTAAAGGTGCCGACCTAGGCCTGCCCTGCGCAGTTTACGATCTAGGCCGTGTCTCGTGCTGTGAGGGGTCCTCAGAGAGGGGCAGTGTCCCTTAGCCCACGGGGTCTGAAAAAGGCTCCATGGAGGAGATGGTGCTTGTGCTAAGATTTTCAGCTTAGGAATGGCCAATCTACAACTACTTTTATATGCCCTCTCATTTTAGGTCTTATTTCTTGACAATCAGAGCTACCTTGCATAGATTTTAGCATTTATGTCCTAACTGGGGTGAGCTTGGTGTAAAGCATGATGGCATCTGGCCCGCCTGGCTTGCTCAGATGCCCCCGAGTGGAAGGGGCAATGGTTGTGAAGCAGGAGGTGCAGCCAGGGGGTGGGGAGGATGGTGGAGTCACCTCTGGGAAAGTGACAAGATCTGATAGTGTGTCCAGCCCTGGACAGAAAGGCTGGGTTCCAGGTGATGAGGGGGGCAGGCTGAGACCTGGATACTGTGTTGGAACCTAACCCTGCAGACTGGACCAAGCCAGGCCAGGTGGGTGCTGTCTCTCGAGAGACCACAGGCACCCAGAATCACCCCTGAGATCATGCGGTTCTGATTCCCGGCAAGGGTCTGGAGGCCTGGGCTGTGGTCTGGAAGCCTGGCAGGGAAGATGAGACACTCGGATCCCAGGTGTGGAGGAGGGGCTATGTTCGGAGCCCCCTCCGCAGGCAGTGAGCGAGTGTCACTGCCTCCATCAACACAGGCTTGGGGCCTTGCATGATCTCGGTCCCGTGTTGGGATCATCAGTGGAACTTTAGGGGAAAGGGAGGGGGAGGGGGACAGGACTTCCAGCAAGTTTTTTTTTTTTCTGTTATCAGAATTATCCTATTAAGTAGACGTTTTATTTCACAAAATCCCCAGCCAAATAAAAAAGTCTATGAACTTTCAGCTGTGTCTCTCTGTAAAGAACTCAAAGAAGTTTCAGACACTGTCACTATCCTGTTTGAATAGTGACTTGGAAAAATGCTAGATTCCGAGATTTACATGCAGCCTTTCAAAATGTAGTCTGTTTTATGTAAACATCCACTTGTTAAAATTATTTTTTCCTAGGTAATCCCCTATGTTGGGACCATTCCTGGGGAGCTGGAGCCTGGAACGTTGATTGTAATACGTGGGCATGTGCCCTGTGATTCGGACAGGTAAAGCCATCATGTTAGATGAAACAGGAACACGACTTAACTGTCTTTTTGTGGGGAGACCGTTTTGGTACTTTGAGGCCTGGTTTTGCTTTCATCAGCAGCCCCGGCGCAGGTACCAAGGAGATGGGAGTAAATGACCGAAATAAAGGTCACTTCGGTGTTTAATTACAGTGAGTGGTTTGAATATAAAGGATTAGAGATCTGGTTCATGATGGGAATTGTGGTCAGACCTCAGGGACAAGGTCTAGTTACAGCATAACATTCCCACAGCATCGCTTAAGATCCGTCCTGGGCAAGTTGTGTGACGCTTGCTTTGGGTACAAACTGTGGGCGAGGCTGTCTGAGTTCGAGCTGGGCCAGCTGTGTGTGGCTGATGCCCAGATAACAGCGGTGGAAGTCAGGTCTGAAGAAGACATCCCACACGTTTCCAGGCAACTCCACAGAACCTAGAGAAGCAGGCCTCTCCCGGCTCACAGTTCTGCTATCCCTAGGGTGAGGTCCTCTTCCTCAGGGCTCACGGCAGCTAGAAATCCAGCCCTCACACCATGTTTTGGGTGTCTGGGTGGGTGCCTGTGGGGTTTGGGAGGAGTGGGCAGGGGAGGGGGGTGGACAAAAGAAGGCAGATGCTGGCTGACTTCGGGCCATTCAGGAGCCTGCCCTGAACACTTCCACCTCGGCAGTCTCTCCAGGATGCTTGCCTGCCAGGGAGGCTGGAAAATTCTGGCTCTTATTCTGCACAGATGGGGCCCCAGCCACAGCTCAGGGCTCTGCACTGAGGAAGGGAAGGAAGATTCTGTAAGAAGGTATTCAGGCCACGTGGGTGAAGGAACAGAGGATCAGTCATGGGTCACTGAGGCTGGAGTTTCGTGCTTGCTGGGCCTTCCCCTGCAGCCTCCTTCCAAGTGCCCACGCGGCCCCTCGGTCCTTGCTCTCGCAGGTTCCAGGTGGATCTGCAGTGTGGGAGCAGCGTGAAGCCGCGCGCTGACGTAGCCTTTCATTTCAACCCGCGTTTCAAGTGGTCCAACTGCATCGTGTGCAATACTCTGAAAAATGAAAAATGGGGATGGGAAGAGATCACCTACGACGTGCCTTTCAAAAAAGAAAAATCTTTTGAAATTGTGATGATGGTGTTGAAAGACAAATTCCAGGTAGGTTTTAGAGAATGTAGGTGGAATCCTCATGAATGGCCATAAGCGCCCAGGGCAGCTCTGCACCCCTCTATTGTTTCAGTTCAGAGAAAAAGAGTGGCTTTATCGTTTTGCTCAAAAGTAGGGGTCGGGGGGGTACCTAAATGGGAGGTGGGGCACGACCTCTGTCTGCCCTGCTGTTTCATCCAGAATATGGGTCCAGGGCAGCCAAACCTTCTTATTAGATCCTGTTTCTAGCGTGGCTGAGCTTAGATCTGAATTGGCACAGCATCATGTAAATATGGGATAGTCAGCTGTGGTCACCGTGGCCCAAAGTGTGGGGGCATCCGGAACTAACAGCTGGATACGGAGTCAGTTAAGTCCTGCCACAAGTTCTTTAGGATCATGAGATTTTAGATGCAGAGGAGGTCCTAGAAGTCCTACGTGTAGTAAATCCCACTGCTGACTTCAAGCGGTAAACACCCTGCACGTACTAGTGCATACGTGTGAGGTTAGCAGGTGGCCCCAGAGGCTTGGGGCGCACTTGCCCTCAAGCCCCGAGGAGCCCCGAGCCTCCCAGACTAGAGATCCGCTCGGCTTAGAGTGAAGATTTCCCGTCTCTGGCGCGGGTCCTTTCTGTCCTCTGGGATATGCTCCCACCAACACACTTGCCCTGAATCTCCCGAGCTCCGTTCCTCCCTCCCCTCCCTGGCGCTCTGAGCACCTGTATCTGTAGCATTCTTTAAAACGCTCGGTCCTGTTCTGTGGTGCCTTTTCCTGTTGATTTTACCCGCCAGTGGGATTTTAAGCTCCTTGAGGTCGGAGACCGGTTTGCATCGCCTGTGTTTTCCTGACATCCCCTACCCGGGAGGGAGGGTCAGAGAGCCATGTGGAGTGGACTCCTGCCGGCAGGCCGTGTGCTGCCTGACTCTCAGGAGTGACTTCATGGTCTCCTCACAACAGCAGCCTGTTCTTTGAGGGAGAGCCTTTTCCTCCTTACACTAGGAATTGCAGCTGAACTGGGTAGCTTGCCCATGTCCCTTCGTTCAGCAGATTCAACAGATATTTACTGAACACCTGCCATGTGCAGGGTGGTCTTCCTTAGAGTGTGGTCCTCAAAGACAGCGGGTGGGGTGGCAAGCTTGCAGGGCAGATCACCAACCGGGGTGTTCACAGGCCTAGGGCATCGGGGGACTCATGTATATGCACAGGGACACACATGCAAATGCACACATACTCATGAACGCAAAATGTCAGCGGGGCGGGGCGTCTATGGTGGTTTCTCAAAGGAAGTTAAGAAACACTGCTAGTATTATGGATGCTTTTCAGTTTGGTCAGACATGTAATGTGCAGGCCTGTGGGCAAAGATATGAAATTAAACCCAAGTAACCACTATTTAAATTTGGTTTAAATTTGGATACATTACTAAATGTATTAATTGTTTTTTTGTTTTGTTTTTCTGGGGGTGCTGGGCTGTCTTCTGCTTCCATTTAGGTGGCTGTAAATGGGAAACATACACTGCTCTATGCCCACAGGATTAGCCCAGGGAAAATAGACACTCTGGGCATTTATGGCAAAGTGAATGTCCACTCAGTTGGTTATAGCTTCAGCTCGGTGAGTACCCTTCCATGGCCTGGGGTCTTCTTCGGTGATGTCTTCTGATGAAACGGTAGGAAATATCTTTAACGTCTTCTGTTAAGATAAAAATACTGTAAATGTTTCCATCATTAGTGTATTAATTTCTTGGAAGTAAATCTTTCAGACTGGTAGCACGCTGTGTATTGGCCAGGGCTTTAATGTCTATAGGAGCTCAAATCTAGAATGGTTTTAACGACGACAACAAAAACAAAACCCAAAACAGTTATTACAAAACAAAACAAAAACCCTTTTTAACAGGGGCTAATTCCTTGACATAGGAGTACAGGGGAGGATTTCTCGAAAATCAATTCTTGAAGTAGAAAGTCTGAGTCAAAGGGTATGTGCATTTTAAGTTACAACTGATACTAGTTGGAGGGCTGGTGAGCTCACTCTCCAAAAAGACTTCCAGCGGTGAAGTCTCAGCAGCCATGCCCGCTTGCTCACATTCTTCTCGATGCTTGTTCTTAGTCTCTGTAACGCTTGCCAGTCTGATAGGGGAAAGGACCCTAATGTGAAGTACATTTTTGGATTATAATTTTCAAGCATGCTTTCATGTTTAGTATTATTTATAATTCTTTCTTTTTGATGTGTCAGGGAGATTGTATTTAGAATTCTGATGGATGTTAAAAATTAATCTTATCTTCAGGATTTCAGAAGTACCCAAGCATCTATTCTGGAACTGACAGAGATAAGTAAAGAAAATGTAAATATTAAATCTTTTTATGAACTACCAGTTTAAAAATGTTCTTTTAGTTTCCATGTAAATCAAGTGGCAGGCAAGCTGAGTTTTTTAAAATAATGTTTTTAATGTGAAAAAATATTTTTAATTAATTATTAATAGGCTGGAAGTAAGCATTTGAAAATTAAGGCATTTCCTTCTGTCCCAGTCACTGTATGTTTTGCAGATGCTCGAGCTCTCAGTGTATCTCCCCACTACCCACCATTCTTATGTAAAAAAACAAACAAACCCCTCTCTTTTAACTGTTGAAGAGAACTGGCACACGGTATTTGTAAATACTGAACACGGTGCCTTGACACACGAACTTCCACATACATCTTCTCCCCAGTAGGAAGAAGTACAGTCTAAACACTGAGTCTCTGTTATTAATGGAGAAAGTGATGCCTTAATGGTCTCGGAACATGTGACCTAATAGATGGAATATAGTATCTCAGCATTTTGGGAGCACCTTGGAAAGAACAAGTAAAACATGTCTTAAGTTCATGTGTAGTCCTACGAAAAATTAATTTATGCTGGAGGATACCGGCTTCAGGTGACCAGGACCATGAGACTGTATCCCCAGCCTGAGTAGCCCATCAAAGTCCGCACCACCCCGTCAGGAAGCGCAGGCTCTGGCCGTTATAACCAGTAAGATCTGACTGCTCATGTTATAAAATGTAATTTTCCCCTTTCAAATGTCTTCACTTTGACTTTCTCTTCCAATAGGTACTGAAGTCCGACACACCACATTTTGTAAGTATTTTTGCCTAGGTTATAACATGGAATGTTTTATAAAATCACCCAGGACATGAATAGTTTAAACCTTAGAAGATAGCTTCATTCCTTCCCTACCTTACTGCAGAACTCTTTCCCCAACAGCCTAGTAATAGAGGAGACATTTCTAAAACCGTACCCAGAACTGTCTACACCAAGAGCAAAGGTTCGACTGCCAATCACACTTTGACTTGCGCCAAAATACTACCTACCAGCTGTTTGTCAAAGGTTTGAAGAGCCAAAAATTTTCTTAATTCCGTATAACCAATTAAGTTTCAATTAGCTGGTAATGTGTAACTTCTACCCTCAGGAGAAGCCCAAAGCAGCCACTCTGCCTTTCTGTGCTGACCCTGGAGAGTCAGCTGGGCATCGAGGCTCTGGGCTGTTTTTCTGTAATGCTCCCCCCCGGGGCTGCTTCCCCTCAGGCAGAATGTGGAGCACGGCTGCAGACCCCAAGTGTAGGCGAGGTTCTCGGAGTGTGTTTCACTCAGGCCCCACTTCACGTGCATTCATGTCCTCCCCCGAAACGCTTTCCTTGAGTGTTCGCTGTGAGCCGGGCGGTGCTGACCGCTGGGGCTCACAGGGGCAGGGCTTTAAACATTGCCCCGTGTCTTTGGACAGTTTTCCCATGAGGTCACTTTCTGCAGGCTTCCTAGTGCTGACTGTGGTTTCTCCTCAGACTCTGCCATTCACTGCGAGGTTGAACTCCTCCATGGGCCCTGGACGAACCGTCTTCATTAAAGGAGAAGTGAATAAAACTGCCAAAGGGTCAGTATCACTGTGACCAGGACTAGTGTGAGTACTTTGCCCGCACGTCTCTTACTGCCTTATAGCCCTACCAGTCTTGTGACCTGGGAGAGGAGTAGGGTCCTGATCCTCACTGAGAAGGTGAGACTGTCAAAGCCACAGGAGGTCAGGCTGCCAACAAGACTGCTAACAACTAGCTGGTGGCAGAATCAGGACTAAAGGCCAGTGTTTTGAGCTAGGCTTTTTGTGGCCAGACGAGAGGGTGGCGTTTTTGTCCGGGAAGCCCACCTGTGCCTTGTAGAACTCCAGGGCAGCCGGCAGGTCAGGTGACTCGCGTTAGGGCCCCTCACGTCATGTGACTTGTAGAATTTCTGCTTAAGAACCTTTTCTAGAGACGTTCAGACTTCTGAAAGCTTGAAATTAGCTATTTCCTAGAAAGCAATCACTTTCAAGAACAGTTGTAAATATTAAAAGAGAATAGTACTTGAGAGGACCGTATCCTCCTGCAGCCTGAAGCAGCATTTAGGTTACTTGCTCTAACCCTTCGGTTGCTTCCCACCCAGATCCGAGGTCTCAACTCTGATGTTCAAGTTTTTTAGATTTTTATTTTGCAAAGAGCATATTTACATCAGTGGAATGCTAACTCCGAATTTAAAATTTCACCTTCATCTGCATTCCTGTATCTGTGTGCACGTGTTTTGTGTAGTTGTGATGAGAGCTCAGTTCTGATTGTTAAAATTGCAGAAACCGCACTGCTGTCTTCAACTTAATTTTGTGTTTTTTTATTCTCTCAAAAGCTTTAATGTTAACCTAGTATCAGGAAAATCAAAGGATATTGCTCTTCACTTGAACCCACGGCTGAATATGAAAGCATTTGTAAGAAATTCTTTTCTTCATGAGTCCTGGGGAGAAGAAGAGAGAAATATTACCTGTTTCCCATTTAGTCCTGGGATGTACTTTGAGGTAAGATTTTCTTATGGGACACGACAAAGAATCCTGAGAGGAGGGGTAGGATAAATGGTCTTTTTAACTCAAGTCCTAGCTTAATTACGTGGAAATTGCGCGTGGCTTTTATTTGGAGAGGGTCTGCATTATGAAAGGGGCATTCAAAAGACAGTACTTTGGTCGGTGTAAGTGGCGCAGCCAGTAGAATACCACCTGGTTGGCTTGGAATTATTACTGCGTGGCCCCACATTAGTTCATAGGAATTTTAACCGGAACCTTGCCTCAGGACAGAGAAACAGGTTTAGGATATTATCTAAGTGAACATAAGGACACAGGAACCATAAAGTTGTTTGCTCTGTCACCTGCCGTCTTGGTTATATATAGCTGTAGGTGGCAGTCCTTTCTTCCAGGTTAGTCCTGTTTGTATATTATTCAAGGGGAGAGATGTTTAGACCCTTACTAAGACATATGGTCCTGAGTCCCCCAAATGTGTGAATATTATGGTCACACAACCTTTCCCAAAATGTGTTTCTGGATGCTGAGCACACAGTAGTCTTGACGTGGTTGGCTAGGTTCACTCACCAGCTTAGGTGAAGCACTGCCTTATGTGGTCATTCAGGGTCACTGATTTAAGTCATGCTTCTACGTTCTCCAAACTGTCACATGCTCTGGACCATTAAGTTGAGTTCTTTAAGGACTCATCAAAACTAGCTGTTAAAGGCAGGAACGTCAGGCAATCGGACATTCATGTGTATTCGTAAGTTCCCGGTATGTGGAGTAACAAATGTGCCCTAATCGTAGGAGGTGCCCTGGAAGGTGTGGAGATTGGTTTGGAATTCAGAAGGATGTAGGAGGGTGAAGTTAAAGGTGGGTTTTCCAGATTGAGGGGATGATTTGAGGTGGGGAGTGCAGCACAGGGGTTTCTTGGCTTGGCAGGAGTCTGACTGGGGGCTCACTGGCAGGAGACAGAGGTGACTGCTCCAGAAGGAAGTGGATCCTTGGGGCTGGTGACAGGAAACCAGTGACATAACTTGTTCTTTGAACCGACCCCAAGTTTGGTTCTGTATTAAGATGGAAAAGGACAAGAATTCTTTTAAATAATCATTTTTTCCTTTTGTTAGTTTTCTACCTCAGGAACAGTAATTACCCTCATGTTGGACCACTGTTTTTAATTTTCTGTAGTGATTGGTTTTTCTCTAACTGCTTCAAACTCCTGCCTTTTTAATATGCTTTCATTGAGATTCTGGGACTATTCCATTATGCCATTAGCTTGATTTTAACCAGTATCTTCTGTTCCTTATTGTTTCAGATTCATTTATTCAGCTGCCACAGTCTTTTAAAAAATATCTTTCAGTTTTGTAATTTCTTTTATCATCAGATCAGGTTGTTATGAGCTGTTCTAGAACATCAGATGGTTGTGAGGGATTTTGTTGTTCCATGTTTTCTTATAGATTGTGGGCCTTTTGCCCGTTTTGTACTTGTTCGGCGGTAGTATGTTCCCCGGGCCGCAGATGGTTCCCTTCCATCTGTAAAGCAGTGGTGCCGCGCTTGCTCTGGTACGATGCGGGGGACCGATGGACTCTTCCCACTGTGCCCCTCTATTGCCCCTTCTGGGCATGAGGCTGTATTTTGTGTTCTCTTGAGATTTCGTTAAAGGTACCTCACCAAGGGTCCCTTCCACCTGGTTGAAACTGGGATTCCCACCACTGTTGTGAGGATGACAGAATCCCAGGTTATGGATATTTTCCCCAATTCTCTACATGGCTCTAAAGCCTTTGATTCTGTCACCTCTTTTATCCATGGAATTTCCCCTCACAGCCACTTTCACTAGTCAGAGCAAAAGAATAAATACAGTCTTTGCTTCTTGGCAGATTTGGATTTTGCCTCAGCCTGGTCCCTGGGGATGGAGCCGGGTTAGCAGCAGGGTTGTGCTGCTCCTTTCTGCTCTTCTGAAGCCTTGACAGAGGGAAGAGACAGAAGGGAGAACACAGTGCAGGTTCACCAAACTGGTCCTTTGAGTGTGAGTGGAGAACAACTGGCAGAATTGTGGCTGACTGGCATCGGGAATGTGTTACCAGAAGTAGGAGTTTTTGGTGTAAAAGTGATTGTAGTTTCTTTTGGTTTTCACTGTTTTGAGTTTTAGGCAAAGACAACTCTGAAAGGCTCACACCAGTCATGAATCTGAATTGAATCTTTGCCAGAATGCTCATTCCTCTGTGGATTCACAGAATCCTGAGCTTTTGGGAAACAGATGGAGACCAAGATGTGCTGAGCTGGGATGGAAGTCAGGGTCACCACGCAGCTGTGCAGTCCTAGAGAGTGCCCTAAACTTCTGACGTTTTTGATTGTGTGATTTGTCTAAGACCCTAGAGTTTAAGGCAGAAAAGTCCCTTGGTTTTCAACCCGTAAGCTGGAATCCGCTCCTCTGTGTCAATCTGGCAGCAGTTTTTGACGTCATTACAGTTCCCAAACGTGGGCGGGGGGCGCAACTTTGCTGGGAGCGACGGGCAGGAAAGGGCACAGTGTAGGTAACGTGTGGAGGGCATGGAGGCCTCAGGCCCTGGGGACAGTGTGAGGCTCCAAGCATACTCAGAGTCACTTCCCTGAGTGGGACAAGGCAGAAGGTGCTACTACCAGATAAACTTTAGAGTCTTAGAAGTTAACAGTCTTAGAAGTTAACAGCAGCAAGCTGGGAGAACGCCTCTGTGTATAAAGCAAACCCAGTGGGTTTACATTTTGATATTCTGTTAATGTGCAAAAAACAAAAAATGTTAAACCAAGAGGAGCCACTAATGTTGTGTGTACTTTCCTTCCAGATGATAATTTATTGTGATGCTAGAGAATTCAAGGTTGCGGTAAATGGTGTACACAGCCTGGAGTACAAACACAGGTTTAAAGAGCTTAGCGATATTGACACGCTGGAAATTGATGGAGATATTCACTTACTGGAAGTAAGGAGCTGGTAGCTGATATGCTTGCTACAAAAACTGAAATACAGAATGGCTTATGTAACCCTGGCCTTGTTAAAATGCATCTATTATATTTGTGTATATATATTGTTAAAATGAGCTTGCATAACATGAAGTCCTCCTAGGTGTTCTCAGTCCTTGCCACGCATTGTGGCTTTGTCTAGCACAGACTAAGGACATTTGAGGCAACAGGTAACTTAAAAAGTCATTATTCAGGCCTTCCTGTTCTCTCTCCCACTCTGGCCTCTGCTTCACATTCAACAAGTATCGGTTGATACAGAAGCTAATGTGCATGGAGCACTTATTCTCTGTCAGCCCTGTGCTAGGAGCTGTGGATAGAAGTATACAGTGGAGCACAGTGCCACTCTGTTCCCTGTTCTCTTGAGCTCAGAATCTTCTTTGCTCTCATATCATTCCACTGATTTTTCTACAGGCATTAATCACATAAAGTAACCAGAGATAATTACTCAGCTGTGAAATCACCTCCATGAACTAATTTACAAAACATTACTTCTCCATCGATCACTTTCATACCCAAAGTTCAATCATATCCCATAATGGAAAGGACTGATGTTGCCTTACATCTGGCAGTTTCCTTTAGCACGATAAATACCCAGCTGTACTAGCTGTAAGCATTTCCGAGTAATTTAACACTACGAAATCTGAACACAGCACAAAGATTAAGGCAAAAAACAAACACAGCAAAACAAAACCAATGGTATTAAAATTAACTTGATGTCAGGCCCCTGATGTCTGTACCAGTAAATGCTTAGAGTACCTGAATTCAGGGTGAGTCCGAAGTCTACACATACTCCAGTAGAAAGTTTAAGGTAGAAGCCTTCAACGAAACAATGTCAAGATGAGGTTTCATGACTGTTCATAAAATAGGCACTATCAATCAGAGGGTAAACTACACTGAGACCAATGGAGCAGAGAGAAGTGGTGTAACAGTCTGTTCTTGGCCTCATCCAAACCAACCTTGCCTCTCAGCTCTTCTAAAGATTAGTCCCTCATCATCAGCGACGGAGATCAAAACACTGTTCTACTTTAAGTGATTAAAATCAAACCTGTATCAGCACGTTAAATTGTTGCATTTCTGTAATTTTTTCTATTATTCTTTGAAGCGAGTTGGCAGAAGTTCTTTGTACAATTCTTACAGGTCAGATCTTGTTACAAGAAATTTCCAAGGCTTGGGAGTGGGGAGGTAAAAAAAAAAAAAAAAAAAAAGCTGAATCAGTTTGATCATTTTATCTGTTAAACTGCTGGGCTGAATATGCTGCCAGCATTTACAAATATTTTCATTACAGATTTTTGGTTAGATAGTCTTTTTGGTATATGGGTACAAATAATAAGACTAGCAATCTGATTTTTTAGAAGTACTCAGTGTAGAAGCTTCTGGCACTTAATTCTTTTCTATTCATGTTAATTTATTATGTTGCATCTTGCCAAGCTCATGGGAGGTGGAGGAGGGGGGTCCTGACTTTCAACTGGGAAAGTTGTAGAAGGAATCCCCAGGGTTTTTTTTTTTTTCCCCCTTTCTAAAGAACATCAGAGGGCTTACTCAGAGAAAAATAAAAGCACACATACATTGTTTCCTCTAATACCTAAACATACCTTCATGTGTAACAAAAGCGTAAACATCAAGTATTACTAAAAAAGACATGAGATTTTGACAGGAAAAAAAACCCAAAATATTAATGTGTTTTAAGAAGAAGCTGTTAACATTTACTAATCTTATCAAGAGATTTCTTAGATGGGAGTACACATTCCTAGCAAGTGGTATCTCTCCAAAGCTGCAATTTAGCCTTTTGTTTCATCACAACTCTGCACTAAATTTCTGTATTAGAACAAAGGCTTTCAAACTAAACATTCTATGTGCAGTCTTAGATGCTTTAAAATTTTTTTAAAGGCCTTAAGTAAATAAAATGCCTTAATGGCAGATTTTAATTTTTTTAAAGCCTTTACTTCACGTGACATCAGAGATTAGAAAACCTCAAAGCTTTGAAACAAATCTGATACTTTATCGTACAAGTAATTCTTGGATTACCATCAGTGGAAATGTGATCACTTCTAATCCTGGAGGAGCCATGCCACCTAGTATTTCTGGGCCTTTTCTATTTGTGGCCTCTGCCTACACAGCCCACTGCCTTGGCGCCCCCAAAGACTGAAGGGTAAAGACAATCGTAGTCCTAAATGAGAAATGTATTCCAGAACCAATTCCCTCTGTGGCCACACACACAAAAATTAAGGCTGAAGTGTCATCTACCCAAAATGAAAAGTATTCCAAATCGCTTTACAGTCCAAAGTGCTGCTGCTGAGTAATGTCCTTTTCTTGAAGAGCTACCTTGAGTGAAATCTCTGACATGGATACCATGTACATAAGACATCCCTTTCTGGAAGAGAGTTAAGGTTTTACAGTCTAAATGAGGTACTTTCACCTTTGAGTGCCCAAATTAAATACGTCCGTAATATCAGTAACTTCAATCAGAAAAGACTTCAGCAAATGTTTAAACAAACACAGCAGTCTGTATACAAATCCCAGGTATCATTTACTCTTGCTGCAATTCTGTACAGGTAGCTGGAGAGGTTTCTATGGGATCACAAACCAGGGGGGAATTTTGTAAAGGAGTCCGCATAGGTGTCAGGGTACCAAAAGTAATATGGTACCAAACACCCAAAAATAAAAATATGAAAAATAAATCTGACCTCTGAACAGAGTAAGAAACACCAAAACCCCAAAGTTTTAGAAGTAGCTCTGGAGCGGCTCTCCCAGTATAGCTTCCAGTTGCTGAATAGTCTTTTGACACTGATGTTCCACTTCTTCACATTCATCTAAAAAACAAAAATAAAAACTGAACAATCTCCTGCTTCAATTATCGTTCGTCTAATACCTCAGGTCTTGCATTCTCTGGCCATTGTTCAGTCAAAAGAGGGAAATGAAACGTCAGTGCAGCAGAGAGCATCCCCTCTCCTCCTCCTCAGCATACCCCCCCCTTCTTGGTCTCAGACCTGGAAGCTGAGTAAGACAGAGCCCCCAAAATAGTGGTGCAGTAGTGAAAATTCTGAATTCCTAGTGATGCCCCTTGTCCAGGACATAAGAAACAGAGGTGAATGTACTTTTAGAAAAGTAGTGAACCATTAATATGAAAAAGCCATTTGTCTACTTGGCTCTGTCTGTCCTAATAAGACTTGAACCGTTTTCCCTTGGCCTGCGTGGTGGCACGTGTGCGGTACGTCCACAACTGCTCAGGGCTGGATTCAAACCCCACTTCTACCTATCACACTCACATTATCAAACTAATCCTCGTCAAGCCTCTAGTTTCTTCCTTTATGAAAACAGGGATAATGGCATACAGCCCATCATGAGGATTAAATGAGATCCTCCATGCAGAGCACGGAGTAAATGCTGGTCATTATTTACAGGCAGCTAACCTACTGCAACCTTAATGGCACTAGACACTCTACTACAATAACCCTATGGGGACCAAAATAGTCAATGATCTAAATGTCCAAGGTTGATGAAAAACCATATTGTAGTATGTTTTTACCATCATAAACATAAAAGTAAAGGTAGTGAAGATTACACTGTGAGCAAAGTTTCTTATGATCCTGGGGCAGCCCCCTAGCACACTCCCCACCCTACTCAAAACAGGAGCTCAGCCTCCTGTGTCTGCAGCAGCAGGAGATGCGGTGCAGGCGGAGGATGGGAGCCAAGGGCTCATCACATTCTATCCACATTTCCATTACCACCGGGCACATTTTCACAGAGTGTTACTGAAATTATTTCTTAGTAGTTTAGGAATTACCTTCCATCAATTCAGCTAAGAAAGGAATGGACTCTGGCAGCAAGACAATATAATTCTCCTTTAGTTTCTCAGCCAATGCTAACACGGTAATCAGAGCAGCAAAGCGGACCTGAAAGGGATAAAGAGGTAAAGAATGAGGATTTTTAAAAAAACTCCAAAAAGTATTGCCACATTTATATCTTATGACTAACCTGAGACAGCCTCTGACTTTTTACACTAAACGTTCCTTCACATGAGTTTGCTCCCCTTGTGTCCAGTCAGCTTTCATCTCAGAATACCAATTTAACAATTTGGGCTCCGTTTATAATATGAGCAACCTTCTACAAACCAGTGTTTTATAAGTGTCTTCCAGTACTGCAGGGCTTAATGTGAATATGTTTTTAATAACATTTTCTTTTTTGAGAGAACACGCATGCGCACACAGGTGGTGGAAAGTTGGGGGAAAGGGGGAGAGAGAGAGAGAGAGAATCTTAAGTAGACTCCGTGCTGGACCATGGTGCCCAATGTGGGATTCAGTCTCACCACCCTGAGATCAGGACCTGAGCCGAAACCAAGTCAGAAGCTTAATCGACTGTACCACCCAGGCGCCCCCACATTTTCCTTTAAAAATAAAATGCTACACACAAACTCAAGAGTGTCATTCCAAATTGGCTCGCCTAGCTGTCAGAGATGACGCTGGCCTGGCTGAAAAGCATCCCTGGTCACCTCAGGCAGGGCCTCTCACTCAGAACCCGGTGTCACCACTACAGTCATGGGAGGGGATGGGCGCTGGCTCCGGTCTCATGCTCAGCACAGAATTAAAAAACACTTAATGTATTATGATGTTCTAGTCTAGGAACTTAAAAAAAGTTTGGGTGTCTCTCACATGACTGGTCTATGACAAGTAATGCAAGCAGTCATCGGGCACTGTTAGTGATCCACTATTTTTTGTTTTTAAAAGAATTTATTTATTTGAGATAGCAAGAGAGGAAGAGCACAAGCTGGGGGCAGGGGGGAAGGGCAGAAGAGGAAGGAGAGAGAGAAGCAGCTTCCCCGCTGAGCAGGGAGCCCAATGCGGGGGGCTCGATCTCAGGACCCCAAGATCATGACCTGAGCTGAAGGCAGATGCTTAATGGACTGAGCCACCCAGGCACCCCAGTGATTCATTTTGAAATCAAAGTTGTACTAGTCCTCCTCCTAGTTTTGGATCATTTAAAAAATATTTGGATACAGCAAAATTAATTTAAAAAGCGTCTTTACCTATGTTCAAACCAGACTTTACTGATATTATACTATCAAAACAAAACATTCAAATAAATTTAATGCTACAACTTTGTAAGAACCTGAAATTTAAAATTTGGGGGTTCATGAAAATAGCCTCATTGTTCTCTTTGTTCTAATAAATATTACAAATTTCAAGTACGAAGCCTTTCAGTAAAATTCTGCTTTGGTCTGTTTTATTCACTGAGGCTCTTGTATGATAATTAGAGAAATGGTGATGCACTGCCAACCAGTTTGAAAACACTGACACTCAGGCATGGAATTTAATTTCCATTCATCCTTGTGCAGGTCAGTGAGCTGCTTACCTTTTGTTATTCCACAAAATCCTAAGCCTGATAAATACAACGGAGGTAATATCACTGCTCTAACTCAAAGGAATGTTCTGCGGGCAAACTGAAAGTTTGTCTCTGGGAACACAAGGACATTTAAAGGCGGCTTAAGAAACACGAGGAATTACTTCAGGTTTTTTCAAAATTTAAAACTATTTAGAAAATGTTAGTACTTGTGTCTAACACGTGGGGGTGGGAGAGGACTTCTATTATTTATAAATACCCTTTAAGTAAAAACCAAAAATTTCTCAGGCTCAAACTTCTGCCTCACAAGCAACCTCTAGTTCTAGAAGATAAGCAGCGTGTCCTGCTAATTTACCAGGGTCCTATATCCTTGACCGCTTTAAGGCTGTTTGGGTATGATGAATACACATAGCTTCGGTGCTTGTCAACCACAGCTCCTACCTTGGGTGAGGAGTCTCTTGTCTTGAGCAGAATCTGGTAGTTAAGTGGTTTCCAAAGAGAGTCATCTGCCATGGCCACTGAAAATTGCGCGATGCAGGGGATCAGGTGCTTCGTCACCCGCTCCTGGAAGCGTGCGTCCCCTCCCAGCCTGTTTTCTAGCTATGAAGAGGGAGACAAGGACTTTGAGCAACGAGTCTCCTTTTTGTTTGAAAAAATACCCAATGTATAAATAATTTTTTACTCTCTTTCACAATGGCAGCAGGCTCAAAAACCAGGTGTAATTCTAGTACTCT